TTTTGACGGGATTTCACTGGCAAATAGCTGATGTAATAAACATTTCTTTAGGCTACTTTTATTTCAGAAATTTTATTTATTTCTTAATTCCACACGGACGAAGTCGCGGGCCCAGCTAGTCCTAACTAAAATCATCTAAAATCGTCCTATCTAGTGGTACGCAGTAAATAATCTCATGAGAGACGTATATATATATATATATATATATATGGTTCGTTTCTCTGCAATATAAACTCGTCTACTATCACTTTGAAAGCACGCGGTATACACTATCCTTCAGATCTATATCAGTGCCAGCTATATTTTTACGCCTACGCCTTGACGAAAGCTTTTATCAAAAGATATTAGGCCAGAATTTATTAGAGCAGGAATGTAACGGTGTGGTTTATGAATTCCTATAGTAATAATAATTCATAAACCGTTAAAAGTATTTAACTGCAGTAAGGCCACGCAGTAGCTTCGACTGTTGCACGAATGGACAGACTCGTCCGGGAAATACCACGCCCTCAAATAAGACTGACGTGTAATGGAATTATAATCTTTCCCGTTTAGTCTTACCAGTAAGGTAGCCAGAACCCAGTCTTATAAAGGTTGTCAATGCATCTGCAAACCCCTCCTTATATTTTAACTGGACAATTATTAACAATTATATATTTTTCATATTTTTTAATTAATCCAATTATTAGAAAATATTGAGATAAAATAATCTATAATTAAAAATATTATTATATAAATTAATGAGCTTGTATTTAAGCATTTGTTTTGAAAACTTAAGAAAGAATAATATTCAGGTGTTGTAGATGTGAATGGGCGTCGGTAATCACTTAACATCACGTGAACCACCCGTTCGCTTGACAACCTTTCACATAGAAAAGCAACTAACACGTTCCAACGATGATATAAATCAAAAATGTGTTTTAGCGAAACAATTTCTAGGAATGATTTCCTTTTGTTTCTGTTTTATTTTCTCCGTTACTTCTACAAATCGTCGAACAACGTATAAACGATTTGCCCGACTGAATTTATTTTGTTTCTTTCAGTTCTATTCTTGGTTTCTTGTTTCAACAATACCACTACATATACAATACAGTAAAGTTAAAATATAGAAGAGTCGTTTACAAACAAACTTTACACCCATAAATGCCTATGCACAAGATAAATAATCATGTAGATTACTTAAATACTGATTGCCAAGGAGAATCAAACTATAAACAAATTAGTCAAACCGCCATATTAATCATTGGAGTTTACTTCTTTAATTTTAAACTAGAGATCGGTTATAGGCATATCTGATGGCTAGCGGTTAGTAGTTCGATGACTTCGTGGCGCCGTTGCCAAGGTATTGGCTTCGGCGTCGGGGGTCGTGGGTTCGATTCCCACACGGGACAACTGTTTGTGCGACCCACAGATAGTTGTTTCACATCTGGGTGTTTGTCCTCGTGCAATTTATGTTTGTTAAACGTCCTTACAACACAGCATAATGTTATCCTAAAGTGAGGGCAATGTCAAAAAAACTTAATAAATAAAATTGTGGTGATATATTTGATGTTAGTTATATTAACTCTTAAAATATCCAATCTCTATTATTATGAGATGCACACAAACTTAACACTGAGGCGGATAAACTGAAGGCATAATGTACCTTAGTCTTATCTTTACCTAGCAGCTTTTCCCGGCACAGCCAGACCACTGCGATATGAACGCAGAACTGTGTAAGCAATTTTTAAATGGAGTTTGAGCTTATAACTTTGTTAACAAATAAAACTGCCAAGTGCGAGTCGGACTTGCGCACGAAGGTTCCCAAAAAATCATGTCATACATTTTTTGTTTTGTTCTTTAGTGTTTTTTATTATAGCGGCAACAAAAATACATCATCTGTGACAGTTTCAACTGTCACAAACACGGTTCATGAATTACCACCTATTACAGACGGACAGACGGACTGACATACTGCAGTATCTTAGTAATAGGTTCCCGTTTTACCCTTAGGGTGCGGAACCCTATAAATGGGCATTTATTAAAAGTGGCATAGGCAATTTATATACGTTAATTAATATCATATGTCATAAAAAAACAACTGCTTGATTATTATCTTAAGTTAAGATATGTATTTCAGGATGTTAAATCAAAGCTACAATACAACATGCTTACAATACGGGGTATGGTGGCAGGGTCACTAAACTGAGCAATAAAAGAGTACTCAAAGATAAGAGTCGAGGGTATAATTCCTTCTATGTAATTGCTTGTAATTATAAATATAATTATCTTTATCATTATCGAATTAAATTGTACTTTCTAACTGCTGTGGTAGATTCATTACATTAAGTGGCAAACGAGCTGGTAGTTCACCTGATGCTAAGTGATAACCGCCGCCCATGGACCACCCGTTTTCATTTGCAACACCCATGTCTTTGCATACGCGTTGCCACCTTTTAATAAAGTGGGCCCCGGCTACCTCATCTAGCAGACGAAACGCAGATGTGTATCACGTAGGAAGTAGAAACTTCACGCCGGTCTTCTGTGAGGTCTATGGATTATAAAAATTATATTACTTAACCTTAAAGAACCTGCTCCCTTGACAAATTTCAAATAGAATAATATATATATATATATATATATATATATATATATATATATATATATATATATATTCTCTGGCCTCAACAAGAAAAAAATTATATGATTTATTTTTATCATCGTAAGTTAAAGTATTGGCATAAATGTATTTTTTTTTAACCCTAGTTATAGTTTAAGCTATTTTGTTTTATTTAGTTTTCTATTCAGTTTTTGTTTATTTTTCCCCATTTCAATTCAATCTCTGTTTATATTAGTTATTAAGATAAGTGGTATTACCTATTGTCCCTTTTCTGTTCGATTTAAATGCATGTTGTGTCTACATCTAGAAGAATGCACTTTTGTGTTTGGAATAATTGGAAGCTTATATAAACTTATGTAAAGGTTGTATTCAGTTTTGTAGACCTAATAAAGAAAAAAATATATATACAATAATGAAAAAAAAACTAGTCACATGCCACATTGTAGCGAGTTTCGCATCCGTAAATGACGCGGCGATAATATATTAAATAGTTCACCGGGAACGTGACTGTATATCTCACACTGTCCCAGATTTGACGGGAACGCAATGCAGTTGGCACACCAGCCAAGCAGGATTGGCTGGAAACCGGCGAAGTAATTTGAAAACAATTTCTCTCGCAGTGCACTGTCGCTCTTAAGGGGTCGGAATATAGTTACGAGTATAAGTCGATTCCTCAACGCAAAATGGCGTTTAAAAAGGGGCATTTTAAATACCACACAGAGTAATAATAATAAAAAGTACTAAAATTTACTAAATGTAACTATTTTTTTTTTTTACAGATATTACATTTATTTTTAATTCAGGTAATTATTTACAACTTACGCAAACTTATTTGCACTCACAAATGTTTTTATCCGATAGGGAAATGTCACTATTTAAATTAATTACCATAAATCGATGAAAACTAATCGATTATGAAAACAAAATTAAATCTTTCAATTTCATACAAAGAAAATCTGCCATTGCTTGGGGTGCAACATTCATTTATAAATAAATGAATGTTGTTCATTCATTCATTTACAAATAAATGAATGTTGTACCCCATAATTCATTTATAATTAAGGTTTTTAAGTGGATCAAATTTTGAATACAAAAAGGATTCGGCAACAACTATGCTGTATTGAAATACCACAGACATTTAATAAAATATTTTCTTTTTAAACTTTATATCGATAAAGAATTAAAAAAGAAAAAAGATTAGCTTGGCTTTCTATAGTATCTCTAAGGATTCAAATTTAATATTGCTGGGAATTATTCAATCACTACAAAATTAAGTCCTTTTTCATTGATAAATCTTCGCGTTGGCTCTTTGATATATAAAAATGTAAACCTAACAAACCTAATTAAAGCCAATACCCAATTAGAATGAAGCGTTTTCATTGATTATAACTCATTAATAATTTAAAAAGTGACATTGCTCTATCGATTAATCTTATCCTTTAAACGAGAAATTCTTGTATAAAATATTCTTGTACAAATAAATAATAATATATATATATATATATAATCGAAATCTCGGAAATGGCTCCAGCGATTTTCATGAAATTTAGTATGTGCGTAGATTTGGGGGCGAAAAATCGATCTAGCTAGGTTTCATTTTTAGAAAATGAAAAGGTATCACGAACATTTACACACTTATTTTTTTTACTTTTTTTCTGTACCAGATCATTTTCTTTATTTTTTATTTTTTTATTTCCAAAATACATGATTTACCAAAAAAAAACGAGCAAGGCTCGGTCCTCCAGGTACTAATATTTGTACACACCTCTGTGTACATTAATTTTAATTACGAACGTTTCGAACTCTTTATGCCGTTCATAGTCACGGCACAGATGCGTGCACTCGAGTTTTACGTCTGAATATCATTATTAAACCCGGACTGCCTTCAGTTAAGTTGTTATGTCCGAACTACTCAGTAGGTGCTTAAAATGAATTTAATAATTAATGCGTAAAATAGCTTCATTTAGTTATATAATATCGTATTCGCGTAAATATAAGTAACGAATAAAACTGAATGCGAATTATACACCGCCAAGGCTCCACAAAATCCACAGAAACATCCGTTCCATTGACTAATTGGAGGACTAGCTGCTTGCTTACTTCTATACTGGCCATTCCCGAATAATACGATTTGTCAATAGACTTTTTTTATTAACATATACCTGCCATATAACTGCAACACAAGACAGGTTGCAGATGTGTAGCAATGCTTTGAAAACTAGGCTTCGGTTACGACGCTCACAGGATGAAACGCAATAGTCATAATACTTCTACTTCACATTTCTATTCCAAGTCCTAATTCCGTAGTACCTTGGTATTTCCGCGGTCGAGCCTGCCCATTCGTTCAAAGTAGTATGTATCAGAATATACCGATATCGTAGCTAAACAAACATGTCCTCCACAGCCTTGCCGCGGTAACATATCGCTGATGGAGGAAGACGTGTGGAGGGAGCAGCAGTGCGGTGCCCATGACAACACACCTTATGGTGGAGAACTGTTCCATTGGAGGGCTCATCGTGATGACGCGGAGCCCTGCGCGCTGACCTGTCGAGGCACTCCACAGCACTCCGGTCAAAGACCAGAACCTGTAAGTCATGCAGTTATGAAATACTTCTACTTAAACAATACATATAACTAGCAACCACTCCGGTTTCCCGCGGATGCAATGTATCATACATATGAACCTTCCTCTTGAATCACTTTATCTAGTAAAAAAAACTTCATCAAGATACGTTGCGTAGTTTTAAGGATCGAAGCATACATAGGAACAGACAGACAATGGGACTACTTTGTTTTATATTATGAATCTTCCGCGACACAGAAATGATTCACAATAATTAGTCTGATTTGACTGTTGCGGGAAGTAGGTGCAGTTAGCACAGGATGGCACATCGTGGCAGTCTATGGGGGAGAATCATGTTTAGCAGCAGACTTGAACAGGCTTAAATGATGATGATAATGATGAAGGTGATATTTAGTGAGAGTACTATACTGTGGTAGGGCCACATAGTATTTGCTCTTGCACTAATGGGCAGGTCTGTCTGGGTTAGTACCACCACCCCAAAGGAGACCGGCGTGAAGTTCTGCACACTTCTGCGTTTCGTTCGGTGAGTGAGGTAGCCGGGGACACGTTATTAAAAGGCGTTAAGCGTTGCCAGCATCAAAAAAAGTTTAAGTAGATTCATGTTTTTTGTTTCTTTACTGTAATTTATTAGGAACCCTTTTTTGTGTATGTTATTCATATTAAAAAGAGAATGTTAGTATGTTTGTCCTCTTTACGCTACTGAACCATTCACCTTATTGTGATGAAACTTTGTTCTGCTTACTCACAAGAATTTTCCTGCGCCAAAAAATAACAAATTTAACTTGATATGTTCCTGTTCCTTTATATGTATCTTTACAAATTTTGAATAAAACACAAAGACGTTTCAACGCACGCTGGTCATTAGCCGGTGTGTTGTTAATTGACATGCAACACGGAACTGTCGGTTAGCACTGTAAATTTGCTCTAGAAAACGACGAGTTTAAGACTAATTTACGTGGATATCTACGTTGTTTAGTGTTGCGTTACAGCTATCTAGTTACTTCTTTAATATGTTTTATTATAATTTACTATTGCCCGGTATCACCTAATTTATCCGACCTGGTTTGGTCGACCACTTTGGCTCTTTTTATGTGTTTTAACGGCATTATAAACGTATTATTTTTTTTAAGGTTCCGTATCCAATAGGTGAAACGGGGCCATATTACTAAGACTCCCTCTGACTGTCTGTCTGTCTGTCAACTCGCACTTGGCCGGTTTTTTTTTAGTTTTTCAAGCCAGAAAATGGCAAGCGATCTGGCAGTTCACCTGATGTTAAGTGCTAATCGCTGAAAATGCAGAGTTACTACTCTACTACTCCACTGAGTGAGTTGTAGTTTCAGTCAAATAAAAACAACGCATGCAGTGAACTGTTTGCGACAACGCAATACATTCTTTAAAATACGTGTGAGGCATACTGTTAAATATGGTCTTCTCGGTCACATAAAACACTTACATTTATATTAAGCGCGTTTCAGAGTCACTAAATATAAACATAAAGTAAAAGAGCTTTGAAACTCGGTGCTATTTATTATTTGTGTGTTTCTCTATAAAATGAACTTGGTACATAGAGCTAGAGGGAAGTTTTTCGTAGAGGGCTCTCCTTCTTGTTGCAATTCGCGCTACGAGTGGAAGCACTCAATGGGACGTCAGCTAAATGCTCTAATTAATTGCTTTCAGTTTTTTTTTCCACTTCTTAAAACCGCTCGCCGCGAGTCGTTTATTGGAGCGAACTGAAAAACATTTCAGGAGCAACGCTCCGCAGCTATTGTAGTGGAAACGTTAATGTTATCATAAAACTCGCTCTGCGGTTTCTTTAGATAAACAGTGTATTATTTTATTGCTTTTGAAAGAAGACCTTTTTTGCTTTATGTGAAAAAGTGACGAGCTGTTTCACCTGATGTTAAGTGATCGCCGCCCATGGACATTTATAACACCCGTAGGGCTGCAGATGCGTTGCGACCTTTCAATAAATTGGGCCCCGGCTACCTCACTCATCAGAGGAAACGCAGAAGTGTAACACCTCTACTTCACGCCGGTCTTCTATGATGTCGTGGTACTTACCTGGACGGACCTGCCTATCGTGCGACAGCGAACACTGTTGCGTGGCCCAACCGCAACGAGATCTTTAACGGGCTTATATATGTACATAGATGATTGTCCGCAAATCTCATAAGGATAAGTCAATTATGCTGAGGACAACGCCAGTATGATATCAACAATTGAATAGTCTTATATTAAATATATAAATACAGGAGCGTCGCTGTAACAGACTAAGCACAAATAGCCAATTAAGTTTATATTTAGTGCTCGTCTCTGCTCTCAAGATGAAACTTAAATATGAATTATTTGTAGATAAATGGTCGAAAATTTTTAGCGATAAAAGTAAAATGCTCCTGGAAGACGCAGGTTAAAATCCCGCAGCACCGATAATTTTCGACATTTTATTTACGAAAAATTCACATTTAATTCTATAATTTTTCTGGACCACCCCAAGGTTGACTGGGAGATAATGCTGATGGCATTAAGTCCGCTTTTGTACATCCATGTGTGTGCTTAAATAATAAATAAATAAATGCAAATAGTAAGCCCTGCCGCGATGCATCGGACACAACTACAAGATCGCATTTTAATCCTAGAAACAGAATACGCATTAGCATTATTTGGCCCGGATCAAAACTGAAATCAATTAAAATTATGTTTTATTTTGTTATCACATTATAACTAACATATTTTTATTCCTTAAACTATCTATTGATTTATCCCCTTATATCAATTCCACTGAAAATCAGCGTTTATGCAGTTTTTTTTTTTTTTTTCAGTTGCGTGATCTAACGCCGAGTGGAAACCTTTTTTATGATGTATTATGTTATAATATTTAGCATTTAGCATCGTTTTCGTTTATGTATTTAAAAAATGGAAAAAAAAAGAAAAAGTTTTTGCTCTCTCTGTTTCCATTTTACCAATGATGTGTAACAAAACCATCCAGTGTTGTAGATACTAAATATTAATATAATATATTAATTAATTGGATATAAACGAACGCATGTTAGGCACAGTTACTTTTGGGATCAATTGCTGTGCCACTTGGCGTATAACCAGCTAAAGGTATATCCAGACTAATAAAAGAGATGACAAGGCCACAGAGTTTCTTGCTGGTTCTTCTCATAATATTCATTTATTTATTTATTTATTAATAGAACCACCAACGGAATAACATGTTGTTTTGTAATCCGTGTAGTATGCTTAAATTAAGCCTATATTGAATACGCTTTGACTTTGACTAACACTGGTGGTCTTCCACAGACGGTTTCCCTGGATGAAGATGATCGGGTGGTGGTGGCGGTGCTGGCGGCTCGGGTATCTGATGGCACCAGGTGCAGGCCTGGTAGCCTGGACATGTGTATAGACGGCCGTTGTCAGGTAAGTGCTTTGGACATTTCACAATATTCCACCGCCAATGGATTCGTAACTTTTTATCTCTACTGTACTATAATAAATCCTTGCTGATATTATAAACGCGAAAGTTTGTACGTATGGATAGATGTTTGTTACTCTTTCACGTAAATACTACTGAATGGATTTTAATGAAACTTTACAATAATATAGCTTATACATCAGAATAAGACATAGGGTATAATTTATAGTATATATTAGTGGGCCATTACATTATTTTACTACGCCATTCGGGTCGTCAGTAAAATCTAGAGATATTCAATGATATCCACCTAATCATTAAAAAAAAAATAATTCGCGACTTGGTTATTAAAGGCGTTATAATTCTGATATCCGAGAGCACAACACGGTACAACATCAACGATAATTAATATTCACAGGAAAAAAAATAATAGCGTAGTGAGATAACCTCGATAAGAGAGAAGGAGAAAGTAATTTTCTCTCTCCCCTTCGAGATTTTCTCATTTTTTCTCAACAACCGCCCCGTCCTTAAATTTCGCACAGCAGTTTCCTTAAGTGCTCATTTCTCAAATGCGCGGGAGAAAAGTTATATCAACCGTCATCATTACATATTAAAGCTTATTCCGTAGCAACATGCATTACACCTTAATTCTGTCACAATTTTCCCGCAAAGCGAAATTCTAATCTCCGCGCAGTATGAAGTACGGTAGCCGCGTTTTATGCAGGCGAATGGACGTTCCATTTTCAAATGTAACATTTCTATCTGGCCAGTGCTTCTATTTATCGCGGGGGAAAAAAAATAAAACAATTTGTTGAATAGATTTCAAACGTGGAACGCTTCAATACCATCAACAAATTGCCGCTGCGTAAACTGGAATACTTCAAACGAATGTTCTTGTTTTTTTTTTTTTAACAGTAACGTTAATAAATGCCCGTAAATTTGTTACGCCCGATAGAAGTGAGTAATACTGGGGGGATCCAGTCACTAAGCTCCGTAATTTCAATCTATAGGTTTAATCCGATTACTGCCAGTTTATTTGTTCGAATAAAACCTGATCCTTTTAGCAATGTTCGTATTCATTACGACTTATTGAACGCAATAAATTACTTATTAAGTTATTCGACTACTTTCAGTTGAAAATTAAATCGCTGGCAGCTTTGTGAGCAAAGGTCCAAACTTTTGTTGTCTTTTTGGAGGTCCCTAGACCGCGTATCTCATTGAACTTTGCGCGACCTTTGTTGACAGGAAAATAGAGCAGATCTTAATTTATCTCTTGCAAATTCTTCCTCCGTTTTTTTATTTAAATCTATGACAATGCTCTCAATACAAAGACATTATTGTCCATTATAATTTGTTTTCTCCTTTCTTGTTTATAGCGTATAAAATAATAAAATCAAAATCATTTAATCATCGACATAAGAAAATTACATTTCATCTATCGATAGTCATATTTTTAATCTACCACCGTTTCGTAATGAGGTTCCTCTAACGGAGAAGACACGAGTGAAAGAAACTCCGTAAAATGTACTAACAACTAACTACTAACATCTAAACTTACGACTGCGTGTGTGTACGTATTTTTTATTAGGGTAGAATGGACCTCCAATATAAATGACGACACACTTTCCGGCCAAGATTTTGAAGGCAGCAAGTTAGGGATTGTCCCTTTTGGTGCATACCCCCATATTTTTTTATGTGAAAAGTTGCCAAACGAACAGACGGTTCACCTGATGTTAAGTGAATACCGCCGCCCACGGACATCTGTTACACCCTACGGTTCCAGATGCGTTGACAACCTTTTGAAAATTGGGCTCCGGCCACCTCACTCACCGGGCGAAACGCGAAAAGTAATATACTTCCACTTTACGCCGGTCTTCTGTGAGGTCGTGGTACCCGGACGAGCCTGCCCATTCGTGCAACAGCCGAGACTGCTGCGTGGCCCTACCACCGTGGAATTTCCTAAAGGTTGACTTCATTTTATTTATTTATGTACCCGGCGGACTTAATTTCAAAGGCATTATCTCCCAGTCAACGTTGGGGTGGTACAGAGAAAATTATTGAACGAAAATGGCACGAATAACCAAGCTTACCACATACGACGTCGCTAACCAAATAAGTACTCAAGCCATTGCTTGGGGCTTATCGTCATCATACTTTCAGCCTGTTTTGAGTCCACTACTGTACATCTCCCCACAAGCTGCCACGGAGCAAGATCCTAAGCCACCTGCATCGACCGACTCCCTTCATTAGGACAGGTCTTCTCTACATATAGTGGGGGGGGTCGTGCTTGCGGTTAGTGACAGCAGTTAAAAAAAACCGCCCAAGTGCGAGTCCGTCCAGCAAGAAGGGTTCCGTACCGTTATCTATAAAAACGGGGAAAAATCATGTCTCGTATATAAAAAACAGAATAAAGAAATATTTAAGTGTGGCTCACTAAAATATTTCTTTATTCTGATTTCAGTATTTATTTTTATAGCGACAAAAAACAGAAATACATCATCTGTGAAAATTTCGTCTTTCTAACTATCACGGTTCATGAGATATAGCCTGGTGACAGACGGACAGACATACAGACATATTGACAGACAGACAGCGGAATCTTATTAATAGGGTCTCGTTTTTACCTTTGGCTACGAAAAACTAAGAACAATTTTCCCCGCAATTGTTAAGAAAAAATTTCGCTGCTAATTTCTTTAGTTTTTTGTCCTTTATTTTGCTTTAGGGAGAAAAAACCAACGAAGTGTTAACTCAAGTACTAAATAAACGATCTATGTACAAAATCCCGAGATACCCAGACGCTTGTACGTTAAAGCGATAGTTAACCAGCGATTTGTTCCAAGGTAAACTGAGCAGCATGTAGGTGGAATTCGCCCCTTCCATCCTTTTAGCCGTAAAAGCTGGAAGGGGACATTCCACCTGCTCGCATTAAGCTGCTATAATCCTTAGCTCAGACACGTCTTTGTCACCTATATGAGCACTCATTGGGGGGTAATCAGCCCGTTGTTCATTCGGGTGGTAAAGGGTTAAGTGTGCAGTAACGCCTTCGCGTTAATTCGTCCCGAGTTTCTAACCTATCAACTTTCCATTGGCATCATCTTTCCGTTCATTATAAATTTAAGTACCCGCAGGATCGAGCTTTGCTCAGTTTTTTTTTTTGGTAAATCGTGTATTTTGGAAATGACATTTAGATTCAAATTACTAAGTAATGAAATATGCATAATATTTTTCGATCTTACCGACGTAATAATAAGAAAATATGAACTGGTGTTTTTCCCAAAAGAAAGAACTTAAAAAAGGGAAAAAATAACAAAATATCAAATAGACAAAAAATAAAAGATAGTGTGTGTAAATGATCGTGATACGAACCGCGGCCGTCTGTTTTAGGACCGCCCGATTACCGACTGAACTATTAGAACATTTTTTTCTGCGGCGAAATTTACCGTCATATTCGAATGATATTTTTCATTCCTTGAAAACAGGGATAAAAGGACATTTTCTAAAAATGAAACCTAGCTAGATCGATATTTCGCCCCCGAATCTACGCACATACTAAATTTCATGAAAATCGCTGGAGCCGTTTCCGAGATTCCGATTATATATATACGAGTATATACAAGAATTGCTCGTTTAAAGGATAAAGATATGTCAACTGGTCTGAAGCGGCTGTATTCGGCTAAACACGTAGCAGTGTAAATATCTGTATTGTCCTGAAGAGCTAATATATTTCTCTTAGAGAAATGGATAAGGGAATGTTACACGAATATTATCCTTATCGCATGACTATTGTAGCCTTTCATTGATAAAAAAAATCGAAATGGGCTAATACTCGTACTTCTCGTTTTTAATGTTGAAATGCTTTAATCCTTGACATGCTAGATGGAAATATAATATCGACGCTTACCTATTTCCAAAACTAACTGGGCAGATTTGTGCCCCGGACCTGGCATGAAAGCGATAGAACCTCCTCCTTTCTTGAAGTCGGTTAAAAAGTACAACTTTTAAGCACTAAATATGTACATATAATTAACCATGGCATTTAAATGTTTAATAAATAAATCTTACTAGTGTCCTTATCACCACACAAGGTGAGGTTCCTTCCACTTTGTTGTATCAGCCGTCATCTTACTTTTACTCTAATAATAATAATAAAAAAAACATTTATTATACTACAGAAATCCGGACTTCTTTGACCGTCTTCTAGCCAAAAGCTAACAGGCCTAGTGTGTTTACCATTTATAGCTAAAGTGACATTTACCACAAAGTGGGATCGTGGTAAAACTTATAAAAATGTGTACGATTAATTGACGTATCTTAGATTTTTTTTACAAAATAAATTAAATTCATCTTAACTGTCTGCAGTAATAGCACTACAAAAATTAATACCCTTTAAATATTACACATATGTGTTCAAACTTGAATTCCCGACGTCCCGAAATTTACGCAACTGTTAAATTATAAACTTATATTTTTACTAAATATATATTCAAGACAAACAATTGGTTAACAATTAATGACAGCGCGTATAAAGAAGATGTGAACTATCCAATATTCGACAGCTAAGTGCTGGCTCCGCTTGTGCTTCGCAGTTATAAAGCCTCAGGTATCCCCACTACAGGAACCTCAGCAATATGCAACTGCCTTCATTGTTGTCAGTTTCTTTGCTGTCGTCCACAGATGGCACCTCAAATTAAATGTTGTCAACACAACAAATCCTTAAAAATAGTTTCATTTAGTAATGTGTGGTATTCGCGTAAATATTAATTATTACTTGTGTGTATGCATAATTATCTTCCGTTAAGACATCGGCGTGTTTGTTTTTGTTCCAATTGATCTGGATTAATACTGTAATGATGTATTAATACTGTATGAGACAAGACGTTGGTTTTATTTTAATAATCGCAACGGCGCAGTGACCCACTTTGTGACAGCTTTTGATAAATGCGGTCGCTCCTCGAAAGTAGAATGAATATAGGAGAGCCTTTCCATTTTCCTTAATAACCTCTTGTTCCGGCACATGTTTCTGGTAAAAGAATACGATTTATATATACATATTTATGTATACAATATATATTTATGTGACATAATTTCTACCGTGATAACTCAATGTCCGGGCGCTCGCCTTTAATTCAATATAATCGGGCAACCTGAGATCCCCGCTGCGAACACCAATTAAATTGTTAATTTCTAGTGCTGAATTATCACATTTTATTATATTGACGACCCGAATGGCGTAGTGGTTAGTGTACCTGCGCCTCCTGCGCCAGAGGGTGTGGGTTCGATCCCCACTACTGGAAAAATATTGTGTGATGAACATAGTGTTTTTCTAGTGTCTGGGCATTTATATATCTATAATATGTATTTATTTACAAAAGAAAAGTATGTTTAAGTATGTTTATCAGTTTTCTAGTACCCATAGCACAAGCGTTGCTTAGTTTGGGACCAGAAAATGTTGTGTAAAAATGTGTCCTAAAATATTTATTTTATTTATTTATTTAGATGCTCAGCGGTGAAGGAAAACATCGTGAGGAAACCTGCACATTTTCTTTATGTGATGATATGGCACGCGAGCTGGTGGTTCACCTGATGTTAAGTGTTAAATGTTTAAAGTTGCAGATGCGTAACCACATTTTATAAAAGTGGGTCTCGGCTACCTCACTCACCAGACGAAACGCAGCAGTGTGACTGTTGGTTAAAAAAATGGTTAAAAAGAATGTCCCGCTGAGTTTCTTTCGCCGATTCTTCTCAGGTCTGAGACTTTTCTTTTCTCAACCAGTGTGCTAATGTTTTGACAATCAATAAGTGAGTGTAACGCTTACATATATTATACTTCCTTACTAATATTATGGAGGCGAAAGTTTGTGTGTGTGGATAGATGTTTATTACTCTTTCACACAAAAACTACTGAAAAGATTTCAATGAAACTACAATAACATAGCTTATACATCAGAATAACACATAGGCTATAATATATAAATATATTGTGTGAATTGTACAAAATATAGATAACGATAAGAGTCAACAGCTAAGTAGTGTATAATAATAACCTCATTTTTAATTCTCTCTGACCGTGAGACCGAATTCTAACTCGGGAATAAATACTTACATCATTACCTCTGTTTAATAAATGTATAAGATAAATACTTACATTTCAAAAATGTTA